CACACACACACACACACACACACACACACACACACACACACACCACTGAACTCTGAACTTTCCTCAAGGAAACCAAGCAGGCACTCACCCTGGAGGTGCCATGGGTGGCATCTCCAGAACTGCACAGTCCCTCACTAAGGGGACCATTGACACTGCCTTTCTTACCAGCTGATTGCCGGCCAGCCCTTTGGAAGCACAGCCAGGAAGACCATCCCCGTGGAGCAGGCTGCGTCCGCCCAGGATCTGGACACTGTCTGGTCCCTAGGGGTGAGGCTGGTGTGGCACCTGCAGGGAGGGGGGCAGTGGTGCTCAGAAGTGACCTGGTGCCATCTCCCCACAGGGCTACCTTCAATACTCCGTCCTCTTCTACGGCTACTACGGCAGGGAGAGGAAGATTGGGCGAGCTGGCTACCGTCTGCCCCTGGCGTACTTCCTGGTGGGGATGGCTGTGTTTGCTTACAGCTTTGTCATTCTTTTAAAAAAGTACGACTGCTCAGTTTCTCACGATCTGTGCTAAGTGACCTTGCTGTGTGATCTGATGCAGTCTTGTCAATGACCCTATAAGTTAAAGGGCGTGACTGCACCCATTTTACAGGACAGGGCCACCTGTTCATTTATGCAGCAGGTCCCCTGTGATCACTGCCAAAGGCCAGGTCCTGCATTGGATCTGGAGCGGTGATAGTGCCACACACTTGCCAGTTTACATAATCTTAAAATTATGTGGTGCCACACGAATAGAGATGAACATTGTGATCTAGGAGACCAGAGCTCAAAGAAAGCAAAGCTCCCTGATCTGGGTGTGTGTCTGCCTGTGGCCAGGTTCCAGATCCTGTGGAACCCTGGCTGTGTGCTGTCCTGAAGCTGGCGCCTCTAGTTTGTCCCCGAGGGATGGCACAACACACAGGATAGCACTGTGAGTCCTGCAGCCACCCACAGTCCCTCTCGAGGCCTCGTCTGTAAAAGGAGAAGGTTGGCTGGTGTTGCTTCTTCCCAGCTGGGTTTCTGTGCTTCTGTGTAAGGAGCATAAGTTACGCAGGTGACAGAGGCCTCCTGCCTGGGGGAGATGTGGGCCCCACCACCTGGGCCCCCTCCCATCACCTGGCATGTTAACAAAGTGCAGGTAGAGGTGCTTGGGATAAAAATACATAGTCTAAGCAGACCAACCAGCTCCTCATGGCCTGAGGGCCCCACTTGGAAGGCTTAAATACTTTACTACACGTTACAGTTTACGATTAAATCAGAGCAAACTTGGGAGGAAGACATATGGAGCTAAAAGGCATTGTATTTCAGGGAAAATGGTATAAGGCATAGGCACAGCTTCACCTGAGAAGCAGTCAGGACTCCTGCTTCCAAGTGCAGTATCTAAAGGACTGTGGTGTGCAAGAGGAACAGACCGCTGGGTGGAGCGTCTAGGTGTAGTTATCAAGGGCAGTGATCCAATGCAAAGGGGTGGACCATGATGTCTGGGCACACAATTGTGGGACCTCTAGCCACACAGCCTCCCTGGCACGTGGCTACTGTGCTGTCCTGCCCAATCCTGGGTGCTGCATGTCCTCTCCTGGGGCTGTATCAGGGTAGCATCCTGGAGTAGACCCCCCACCCCCAGTCCCAGGACTCGACCATCACCTCTTTGGTCCTCTCTTGCAGGATGGCAAAGAACTCCCGCACAAGCCTGGCCAGTGCTTCCAATGAAAACTACACCTTCTGCTGGCGGGTGTTCTGCGCCTGGGACTACCTCATTGGAAACCCAGAGGCCGCGGAGAGCAAGACCGCCGCTGTGGTCAACAGCATCAGGGTACGGAGGGCTGGGTGCAGGGCAAAAGCACAGCAGCTTCTCTTTCCTGTTTCTTATTTCAGCCCTTTAGAATTCCACTTTGTATATGTTTGACAATTTACATAATAGATTATTACCATGGTGCATGTATCTAACCTGCAAATAAATAATCACCTCCAAGGTAGGGCTACACATTTTTATTTTTAACTTAGAAGTCAATGCAATGAAAAGCAGTTAGAGCTGTGGGCAACACCAGACCCCACCAACCACTTGGCCCTCTAGTTTAAAAAAAAATCAGTACTTCAAGATAGCACACTTTTCATATCTTCCACATTTTTCCCAATCTCCAGTCTCCTTTTTCTTAAATGATCATTACATCATTGGTATCAAATTCACTCATATCAGTGGAAGTTTACTGGAGAAATTTGTGGATATTGGAAAGAAATGTTGAACGACTGGATAAGTTGTCTTTAACGATTTACAGTTATTGACAATTCTGAGCTTCTAGTGCCACCTGTGGTTTTTTGTTTTGTTTTGTTTTTTCCTTAAAGGAGGCTATCCTGGAAGAACAGGAAAAGAAGAAAAGCAAAAACCTGTGAGTATTTCTTTCCATGTGCTGGATTCATTGATAGGTTTTAGTTTGATACAGACATAAACCATGCAATCTATGTCATATTTTCATAATTGTCGGGCAGCTCCTCTTTCTTTCTGATCTTCATCCCTCAGTGCAATCTTTGGAAACTCATGCCTTTTCTGCACTGGCATCTAGGAATGCTTCCTTCCTCCATGGGTCCTGCAGCAGGGTTCGGAAGTCTGAACTTTACCATTTCCTATTCATTTACTTAGATAATAAAACAGGTATTCTTAGTGCCATCTTCTGTTTGCTAAATGAAGCAGACATATGAATGTTGCTGGGACTAATTTTATTTAAAAACAAATCTCTGAAGTTATAAGACACAAATAGTATCCGGTTCATGCTCACAGCCTTCCAGGTGGCTTTCCTGGGTATGAGGTGCTTCAGAAGATTGGAGAACTGGGCTGGGAGGGTGAGGCCTTCCACCAGAGGAGAGATGGAGGGTGGACATCCCAGGAAGGGATGATGGCCCTGTCCTCCTTGTAAGAACATGTCTGCTCCTCTCAGATCTATACTGGGTCTTCCCACTCATACTCAGTATCTATAGTCAAGAAAGAGCATGTAGGGGACTGTTGAGGAAATATTCCAGCCACAGGGACAGGAAATCAGAAAGCAGGGATTCCAGCCCTTCTTTGTCATTGACTCCTGTGACACAGGGCACTCCCTTGACCTTCCTGGGCCTGCACCCCATCGCCAGTGGAATGAAAAGGTGGGACTTCTGGCCAGTGTGTCCCAGAGGGTGGGTCATCTCCTACCTTGGAATCACCTGAAGTCCCCAAATATAGACTCCGTTGTCTTCTCCTAAGGAAGCAGATATTCAGTACACATTCTGGGAGTGCTGCACATGGTAACAGGACCTAGAAGAATAGTGTAAAGCAAGGGGACGGTGAACATTTGGTTGGTGACATCACATTGGCCCAGCACACATTCTCTGATGCAACCACCAGAAGGCCCACTAGGAGGGAAACAAAGGAACCAAGAACTGCAGGACCCATTCCCTAGGCTACATTCCTCCCAGTTGGGACCTAGAAAGAAACCAGGGCAGCACGGTCTGGAGACAGAGGGAGTAGAGAAAACCTGATACTCAGGGACCTGCACTCTCAGCATTTTCTATTTCCAGGGCCCTGTGATTATTGTAACTGTAACTATAGCGTGTGATCTAATACCATGGCTTTACCATGTCACTTGGAATGTGCTCCTTCACTGCGCAAATGAAGAGCTAAGAAGGGAGGTGTGGCGACCAGCATGAGGTCCCCAGGGGTAGGACTTCATGGAGGGGATAGGTCATGCTTGGCCTCCATTCTTGCCCACCAGGCAGGGCCAGGCAGGTTCCTCCAGTAGCAGGCTCCTCTGCTGGATTTTGTGCTGGCTGCCGCTGCCACTCTGAACCAGACCCACAGATCTAAGTAACATACACCTGCAGCCACTGGCAGGGTCCAGTGTCAGAGCCACCGTGTGGAGTGATGGGAAGAATCATTCTCTCCCTCGTCCCTCTTCCCTCCCTCCCTTCCTAAATGTAAATATGGATCCAACAGCACTCAATAGCCAGTGTTTGTCTAAATCCCCAAGGTGCTGCCTGGTGCAATTTATAATTCATCGTTGACCCCATAGAAAGTGAGGCGTGGTGGGGGGCTCCTCAGGGTCACCTCGGCATAGGAAGTGTCTCTGTCCCCAAGCCTCTTTGCTGTCCCTCGTGGTGCTCCGAGCACCCCATGCCAGTCCCCCACCCCCAGGGTCGTGACCGTCTGCCTGAGGATCATTGCCAACATCCTGGTGCTGCTCTCACTGGCTGGGAGCATCTATCTCATCTACTTCGTGGTGGACCGGTCTCAGAAACTGGAGCAGTCAAAGAAGGAGCTGACTCTCTGGGAAAAGAATGAGGTGAACAGGGCCATCCGTTATGTGCACAACCCTCCAGACACATGGCAGTTTCCATATTTCTAAATGACAAACAATGCTCCCATCTTCATCAAAAGGTCTCATTTGCTAAATAATCTTCCCACCCCACAGAAAATTCCTAAGTGGAAGGGTGCAGACACTTTTGGAATGCTTAGTACTCATTATGAGATTGTTGTTTGGAAGGGTTAGCCCGATTTACCTGTAAAGATTTGAAAGGCAGACATAGCACAAAATCACCTCTTGGGCCACTTGTACGAAAATAATTATCTTTGAGGTTATAAAGAGCAAAGAATGTAAGGAATAAGATGATCATAAATTTATCTGATACCTATTTATCAATGTACAATAATTTATCTAAATCTAACACTGTAGAGCAAGGCATGTAGTTTAGGGCCTGGCAAGCATAAGGTCCCAAGTTCTATCCCCAGTACTGAGAAAAAAAATGTAACACTGTACCACATAATCTTTTCCTATACCTCTCTCTAATTTACGTCAATTAAGTGGGTTGTGTTAAATATCTATTTAGAAATTATTTTAGACAAAACATTTGTGTACCAGCCAAAGCTTCTTTTTTTTTTTTTTTGCCATGAGTACAAAGAAACAAAAGCCAGGCATAATTCTCTAGATAATTAATCTTCTGTATATAGAGAGAATATTAAATTTTCCCTCTGCCTTCCCTTTTCTATTTATAATAATTGCAGTTATTTCCCTCTTCCACCCCAGGGTGGGGAAGTGTAAATGAGATGAAATGGTCGTTGATAAATGAGGCAGAGATACTGGCCAATTCCTGCTGGCATCTGAGTGTCTTCAGAATGCCGAAGTTCTTAAGAGAAATACACGGGACAAGCAGGTGGTGGCCTTCAGGAAAGGAGAATCAGCAGAGCCTGGGAAGGTTTTCAGGAGGGAACTGCAGGCCCCCAAGGGTACCTGCTGCCCAGACCCTAGGTTCAATAACCCACAGTAGGAGCATAAGGCTGGGGTGGCCAGGGAGACAGAGCCCGGCAGTGCTGTCTTGTAGGTGAGCGTGGTGGTGTCCCTCGTCACCATGTTGGCACCGTCTGCCTTTGACCTCATTGCTGCCTTGGAGATGTACCACCCCCGGACCACACTGCGCTTCCAGCTGGCAAGGTAGGCACTGCGCCACGAGGGGCCCATGTGGCTCAGCGTCTGCTACCCAGGGTGAGTACAGGTGACCCTCCCAATCCTGCTTTTACCTGTCCCTGACACTTAGCCAGTGCTTCACCTGTGGTGCAACTCAAGAAAAGTGGGGTGGCCCAAGAAAGAAAGGGGAGGAAGCAGGGAACGGTGCCAGAATGCAAAGGACAGAAGAACCAGATTCATGGGCAATGGAAAAGAGGAGGAGGGGAAGCAGGGCAGGAAGGGGAGGAGGGGCGGGAAGACAGGGTGATGTGTGTCTGGTTCTCTTCACTGCTCAATTCTGCCTGTCCTTTGACCGAATGTGAAGAGACCCCACATTACTTTTCCAGACCCAAGAGAAGTAGCAAATGCATTGCTAATAATCCTTCAAAGCAGAGACCCTTCCCAGAAAGACCCTTCTGGAAAGAGCAGGGGTCTTCTGGGGCTGTCGGAACTCTCTGTATTGGAGAAGGTGGATGGTAACTGTATCCTGGGTGTCTGGCGACATCCCAGTTGCTCCCTTGGGAGTCAGGACAGGGCTAACTTTTCTAGAAAGGGCTTCATCCTGACAGACCTGCTTCTCCCCCTTAGTAAGGTTCACTCCTTAACAAAGCCAGCAGGGTAACAATGCCTCTGTGACTGACATTGGCTGTGGGAGGTGGCCAGAGCCAGTTCACCATGTTTTCCCCTGAGAGGCCTAGTAACATCCTCCAGAGCCAATGGTCGCCAAGCACTTTGGGAAGACGTTTTCCCATCTAGGAATCCACAGACATCTTCTGCAAAAGACCTGAGACTAGTTTAGATTACATATACATCTATCACAACTCTAACCTTTAAAGTTGTAACCACATAGAATACAAAAATAGAAGGCTGGGGCTAGGTTCCAACACAACTTTATTTACAAACATAGACAAGGGTAAGGCTGGTTGTCCTCCTATCCTTGAAACCCAACTGTCATTTCAAAGATAGAAAGACAGGACCAGAAAGTGTGAGGGCCTGGCCCAGAACTCAGAGCCCCTGCAGACCTGGAGCAACCCTTCCCACACACCACCCCCTTCCCCTCCCGCTTCTGACTGGTTCTTTCTTCTCTGCTTTGCATCTCTGCCACCCAGGGGAGCAAGTGCCTTCCTCCACTCCTGCCTCTTTGGTGGGCATGGGGAGGAATCAATTCTATTATTGCATTTGGTCTAACAGCAATCCTATTACACAGATTGGCCTCATTACTCATATGCCGAACTGGAGAAACAGAGGCCAATTAGGGCTGATTCTGGTAGCAGGAGCAGGCAAGTTATTTTAGCTGCATTAACTCACCAGCCTTTCAACCACAGTGCAGTGAAAACATCAACGCAGGGTCAAGACAGAGGTGGCATCCACTCTGCCCTTCCGTCAGCCAGCACCCACTGAGTAGCTCTGCAGGGCAGTAGAGACTAGAAGTCCCAGTCTGCCCCAGAGATGACCTCAGCTGTGCACAAGTGGAGTCCTGCCCTAAGGAGAGGAAGGAGCGCTCTGGCTGTGGCAGACTCCTGCTTTCAATTGGATTTTTTCCTCCACGTAAAGCTTCTTTCCCACCAATAGGCATTGGCCCCATGATTTGCAGCTCACTGCTGTCCCCGTGACACACGTGGAGTGCCCTGCCAGTTCCTTCCCAGGCTCACACCATGGTTGCCCACAGAACCACAGCCAGACCCTGGGTCATCCTAGGAGGATTTCCAAACCTCCCAACTCAGGGAAGCGGACGTCAGGCTTTATCACCGGCTGATGAGGACTGTCTAGCGGACTCTGGTCATGCACACTGCCCATGTGCTATAGCTATACCCACAGGCCCAGACACAAGGCACTAGGACCCCAAGTTTAGTCCTGATTCCTTGTGACCTGTGGACTGATCAGTGACAGACAGCTCTGTCAGTGTTTCCGTTTCCTTGTCCTCTAAGTAGGAATCAGGACAGATGAACTTCATAGCCCTGCCAGAGCCTCTTCCTAAACTCACACTCTTTCTGCTACACGAGGGTTCTGAAACTCCGATCCAAGGAGGGGCTACAGTGGAAAAATGTAAACTTCCTAAAAGCAGGGTGGATTATGGAACTCCACATTCCAGTGCCCCCAAGGTGATTTAAAGAATGCCAGTTTTGGCACAGCAGCCACTCTCAATTCCTCCATGATAGTCTAAATGGTGATAAAGAAACTTTAGAGACCCAGGACCTAAGCTGCAACCCAGAACCCTTATTTATTGTGAAGTGCCAACGCTGCAATTAAACCTGAACACTGAGGGTTTAGTTTTTGCAACTTTTATCGATGCTCAGCTGCTTTGACCATTTGACTCACTCGCCGGGAGAGCGGGCTCTGCCCCACTGGGGCACACATGTCATAGGTTCACCTCCACTGCTCTAGAACCTTGTGGTAGGACTGGGTCCGTGGACTTGGATGTGGGGGTCTGGTTCTCAAGGTGGGTTTGTGCTTTTCAGGGTCCTCGTGCTATATTTGGGAAATCTCTATAGCTTGATCATTGCTCTCCTGGACAAAGTGAACAGCATGAGCATTCAGGTGAGCGCCCACCTCTGCCACCTCCCACATTCCAGCTTCACCGTCACTGTCAACATCACAGCTCCATATCTCATGTCCTAAACTCAAGATAAGGACAGAAAAATTAGCCCAGTGCCCAGATAAGGAAGCTGAGGCCAGGATCCATGGCCAGTAAGTGGCCATTCTGGGATGAGAACCTGGGGCTCTTGAATCTACCTCTGGGTACATACTACACTATTTCCTTGAGTCCTGTCTGGAAAAGCTCCCAGCAGCTCTTGCAAATGAGCCTAGGAAGAGCAGCAGGCCATGGAACTCACTTAGAAATCAGGAGAGAATATTCATCTCATGGCAAACAGTTCACCCACTATCCGAACTCACCTGGCACCTCCACCCTCAACCCAGGGCAGCTTGGTGTCCATCCCTGGCCTGCTCTGCTCAGAGGACATCCCAAGTAGTAAGGTGGGGGAGAGTCAGGAAGGAGGGCACTTCTGAGGGCAGTTTGCCCAAGACAAACCATCTCCTAGCACCGGAGCTGAAAGCCTATAGGTGGAAGAGGCACTTTGCTGCATCAGTCTTTGAGGTTACATAGGCCTAGATCCCTGCTTGTCACTCACCCATATCGCTTCGAGTATCCATCTCCCACTTACAAAGCTTCGGTCTCCTTGTGGACATAGGGTAATCATCCCTGCCTGACACTCTCGTGAGGATGAGGAGAGACCACATGTGTTACCTCGAAGTTTCTAACACCACATATCCATTATATCTCTGTGTCCCACGGGGGTGGAGGGGAGAGGTGAGAGAGGAGAGAGAAAAGGTTATTTCTAAACAATGCACTATCCTCCTTGGTATGGTGTCCCCAATCGTCTGTATTTATAAACATGTGGACAACCTGTCCTTCCTTCTTCCTTCTCTCCATAGGAGGCAGCCTCAAAATATAACACAAGTGCTTGGATGGATTCTACCACCTTCTCTGCCACCAGGGCAGCCCCTGAAGAAGGGAAATGGCCCACACCTGGGTCTGGAACAGGGATCAGTGGAAATGGCACATGGGTCTTAGAGGAGATGAGGGTCCCAACATACACAGTGCCACTCAACAAGGTCAACAAGACCATGGTCCACAACCAGAATCCACAAGGCCAGTGCTGGGAAACATACGTGGGCCAGGTGGTTCCCAATACTCTTTATGAAGCCCACCCACACCCATTTCCTTACCATCTCTTACAACTCTGAGGCATCTAGGAAAGTAAACTTCAGTGGGGTTTATGCTCTTCCAGGTCTCAAAGTTAATAACAGCGCAAAGGCCTGTACAGTAGTAACTGTGTGCTAGGCAATATCCTCATAAGACTTTTGTTACCATCACCATAGGCATAATGAGGAAACTGAGGCATGGGTGGTTAAGAGACTTACCCAAAGGCACAGATGGTAATGAGCAGAATAAAGAGTCAAATCCAAATCTGTGCCTTTAGCTATTCTGCATTATTATTTTTTTTTTTTTTTTTTTTTTTGGTACTGGGGATCGAACTCAGAACTTGTGCTTATGAGGCAGGCAGCGGCACCACTGAGCTAAATCCCTGGCAGCTATTCTGCTCAACCCTTGCTACTTAATCTTGGGCAGAAGCTCTCAACTGGGCGGTTTTAATCCATAGAAATGAGTCTCCCATGGCTTGGAACCTTACACTTCAGATTCTTTCCTGTTTGGGATGATGCTGGCCATGACTATCAAAATACAAATTCAACCCCAGTGTTCACTGAGCACCTGTATGATCCAGCAGCCCCTCTCTGCCCACTCTCCCCGGCTGGACCCAGGGAGGAGTAGAGAGGAGGGGGACCAAGGATGGAGGAAGAGGTGGAGCAGGTGGGACGGGGCAGCAGCCATGACCCCCTGTGTTGCAGGAGATGCTGAAGCTGTCCATCATCGACATGCTCTTCACTGTGGCCAGCATCCTGATCATAGACTTCTTTCGGGGACTTTTTGTTCGCTATTTAAGTGACTACTGGTGCTGGGACTTGGAAAGCAAGTTCGTAAGTAAAATGCTGGGTCCCTGAGGAAGTTCCTGATGCTAGATCCAGACTTTCCTGGTGCATAAGGTGGGAAACAGCCAGGTATGGTGGAGAAAGTGCCTGAGGGAAGAGGGGAGGAGGAACAGGCTGAGTTCCACTTCCTCTACCCAAACTTCACCTATTGCTGGTGTCACACAAGCAGTGATCTCTGGAGTCTATACAATCAAAGTGTTTCAGGTGTGTAACTATAATGAGCCAATGTCTGAAAAAGACTGTAACTTTTGTGTCTAATGCAGAAATTCTTTTACTCTTATAGCCTGAGTATGGGGAATTCAAAATAGCCGAGAATGTGCTACATTTAGTCTACAACCAGGGAATGATTTGGTAGGCATCACAGCTTCTCCTGTCTTTGCTACATCTCATCTGGGCTAATATTTTGATGAGTCTGGATGGGACAAAACCAAAATAAACACAGGAATAAGCACTAAGAAAGGACCCTTGCAAGGAAACTACTTCACATGCTTAGCAATTTCATTAATGGGTTTCTAAGGACTTTATGGGAAGGAACGATGAAAGGAATAGTCTGTTTTTAAGCCACTGTTGCTCACAGCCAGAAGGCTTACATAGGAACTAACACAAAGGAAGGGAGGATTCGGGAAGGGTGGGAAGAGGACTGCTTCTCCCTGAAATATGAGGATTGTTGAGCAGTATAAAGTAATATCCCTCCAATCAAAATCTGTGTTCTCACAGTCCACTATATTTTGCAAGACATCTTCACAAAGAGTATTAAAAATATGATGTAACACTTTCTAAATATGTGCTAGGTGCCATGCATTTTTATTAGTAACTGATTTCATTTTTTGTTGGGAAGCTGTGAGGTAACTATTGATGTTTCCTGCATTTTAAAGATGTAGAGACTGAAGCCCAGAGAGCCAAGGGTCTTGCCTAACATCACATGGACAGTGCCATTTCTGCCTGCCACAAGAAAGCATTTATCGATTTTTGGGAAGATGTTTTATTTCATGTGGTTTTTGTTTTTGCTTTGTTAGCACCAGGGATCAAACTCAGGATCTTGCACTCGCTAGGCAGGTGCAGGGCCACTGAGCTACATCCCCAGCCCTGGGAAGACTCTTATTTATTAGACATAGTCTTTTATCTACTATATTTCTACCACTAAAACCGAATTTCTCAAGTGTTAGTTCAGTTGCATATCCAGTATAAATGGACTTTGACTCAGGTGTCCCAGGTTCTTTTCCACATTTGACATTTATTTGCAGGGTGACTTTGTGAGCTGGCTTCCCTGGGAAGTTTGAATTGTTTCTCATTGGCTCAGCTCTTTTACCCTCAAGACCATGGTGGATGATATAGGGTCTCCCCTTTGTTAGCAAAAGGTCTTTGAGAAAATTGCTTCAGTTGCTCAACTTGCCTTCCTTATCTATTAATTTTGATATTTATCCTTCCTTTCATAATTGCAGAATATCAAATGAGCTAAAATATGTGAGGATGCTTTGCATAATGTTCAGCAAGAGCTGGTGCTCAATATGTGTGAATTAAACCTAAAAGTCAGTAATCTATTAGCGTACTGCTCACCCTAGCCAGACAAATTGTGGAGCTTGACGCAAAGTGCAGCTCCCAGGAGGAGGAGCTTTTCTTTGCTTAAGTGTGAACAGAGTGACAAATGATAAGTAGCTCTGCAATAGGGATAATTAAAAACAAGAATGCCACCTATGGGCAGAATCTTGTTTTACCTCCAGGATGTCAGGGTGGAGAGTTAGGGTTTCAGCCCTTCAGGTTTTCTCCAGTCCTTTAAGCCTGGGGCACAAACCCCAAAGCCTCAGAGCCATGTTCCTCGTGGGCTCCTGGGTACAACCTTCCAGACACACTGGGAGAAAACACAAGCCAACTGCTTCCCCCATGGCTGCAGGATGGGCGCTTTCTTCTCCCCCTGCCTGCCTGCAGTCAACGTCCTCAAACTCATCGGACTCATGTACCTGAGGAGCTGGGCAGTACTCACCTGCAACGCACCCCACCAGCAGGTGTTCCGTGCTTCCAGGTCGGTGGGAGAGGGTAGGCCTGGCCTCAGCAGAGACCTCATAGGAGCCACGCATGCCCTCCCTCAGCAAGGCATCTCCCCCACCCCTGCTTGTCAAAGTCCTACCACCTCCTGTCTTTTCCCCAGCTTCCCCCATTTCCCAGCCTGCACTTTTGGAATTAGTTACAACTCCTCTCAAGCACATAACACATGTTTTAAACTTCTTACTGAAATTTGCTAACCGTTTAGAAAAGAATGCACAAATCATAAATATTAAACTTTATGAATTGTCAAAAACTGAACACAACCAGCACCCACATCAAAAACCAGAATGTAAATGACCCAGGACCCCTACTTTCCTGCCTTTCTATCACCATGATCCCCCACAGTATGGTGGGCTCTGCCTAGTTCTAGAAATGCACCACACTTCCACACTGTGCCCCCAGAGTCCTGTTTTCAACACTCAGTGAGGTGCTTGTGGAAGCCACCTCAGGGAGGAGATGTGTCCCAGTCTTCCCCTCGGTGCTGCTGCTCAGGGACATGGGAGCTGCTTCCTGATGGGAGCTGTCGTGGATGTGCTGCCTTTGGTACTCCTGTAAGTGTCTAATGTCAGGAGCACACAGCCATCGCTGGGCAGCAGGACATGCGTATGTTTACCACTCCTGGACAGAGCAATCCAAAAACCTTTCCAAGGTGGTCCAACCTATTAACACTTCCACTAGAATTACACCACATTACCAAGGCCCCACTGGCTTCATAACGCTGGCTCTTTTCCAAGACTTTCATTTCAGCCATGTTAGTGAATCCATAACACATTCTGAATACAGTGAGCTTTGTTATGCCGATTTGTGTGTCTGTGCCGGCATTACTGGTTTAGAAGTTTTGTAACTGTGACCTGAATGACAGTACATTTACATTTTACCTGGTAAGGTAATCAATAGAGATGCATGCTTATATTCAGGTGTTTGTTTTGTAACTTACATACATTCATTTTATACATATGAATATTGTGTGTGTGTGTGTGTGTGTGTGTGTGTGTGTGTTCACGCAGAGAGAGAGAGAGGGGAAGGAGAATATTTTCACAAACTACCCTCACCTTCTGTTTTAGTTCATTTTGTGGTTACTACATAATACCTGGGGCTAAATTATTCATATTGAGCAGAAATGTGTAGCCTCAACATTCCAGAGCTGGAAAACCAGGCAGTTTTGGTGATTGGTGAGACCCCAATCTCTGCTTCCAAGAAGTTGTCCTAACAACTGCATTTCCCAGGGGAAGAGCACTGTCCCTCAGGTGGCAGAGAAGGAAGGAGGCAATGGGGCCAAACTTGCTTTTTTATGTCCATGCCAGTCCCACCCAAGAGAGTGGAGACCTCAGTACTTGAGTCACCGCCCAAGAGTCTCACCTCCCAACACCCCACAGGGCAGCCAAATGTTAATGTGAGTTTGGAGAGGACACACGCTCACACTGTAGCACCTACTTAACACTCCTTGCCAAGACTCCTAGTCAAGTGTATTGAGAGACAGAGAGAGGACTGGCCAACAGTGATCATGCTGCTGGTCATCACCAGGTGGAACGACCGTGGCTGCTCCCTGCAGAACTATGCACAGGGTCCTATAGCCCAGGTGGTTCTGACCACCCTTGGGGCTGGGGCAGCCAGGCTTACTGACACCACCCAAAGCCTCAGGCACCAGGAACCACAGTGTAGTAGGGCAGAACATTTACCTGAGCACCCAGGAGCCCAGAGGTTAAGCTAATGAGTTCAAATCTCATCTGAGAAAGATAGAGTCAAGAATCCTAACAGAAAGAGCCAAATCCCCTTTAGACATAAGAGACAAGCTCACAGCTGGGAGCAGGAGATGGAAGCCTTAGGTCAGGGCCCAGGTAAGTGTGCAAAGTTCTAAGCTTTCTTCTCCCACACTGCTCTTGTTAGGTAGGAGCCATGGTAGAGAGGCAGGTCCCTGGCTCTTCAGCTTTCTGCTCAGTAAATGCTGATCCAGTGACTGTTGGAGGAGCAGACTGGGCTGCAGGGTCCATGATGTTCCTCTGGGAACCAATTTCCAGGTTTTAGTACCTCATTCATTCTACCCTGCAGCACACCCATTCCATAGCAGCTCTGAGAGAAGGATCTTCCTGTGTGCAAAGTCAGGGGCAGCTTCTGTGTCAGTCTTGGGACATCTATGCCCGGCTCTGGAATGCATGTAGCACCTGATGCTCGATGTCTTTGCAGGTCCAACAACTTCTACCTAGCCATGCTCCTGTTCATGCTGTTTCTGTGCATGCTGCCCACTGTCTTCGCCATCGTGCGGTACAAGCCGTCCCTAAACTGTGGACCCTTCAGGTATGCTCTTTTAGCTGAGATCTATGGGGAAACTGAGTCACATCGGGTTGCGTTCTGTCTATGGCTCACAGCACTGGTAAACAGCATAAAAGTAGCTCAAACTTTCATTTTATGAACTCAAGACCAGAACTCATTCCTTGCTGGCAGGCTGCTTTTTGGTACAGCTATCTCTGAGCTCATGTTAAAAAGGTACAACTCCTTCAAAATAAAAAAGGAGAGAGAAATTCTACCTGGTTCAAACCCAGAAGGCTTTATCAAAAATATTCCACAGCACTTTTCTTCTACATGATCCAGTGAAACCCATGGTATCATCTCCAGCTAACATTTAATCAGTTTTGATACAACACATATGTAAGTTTATCTTTGTGTGCATTAAAAGACATGCCTTGTGATCCCTGACCCTATCTTCAAGCCCGCAGACTCATCAGATGCTTACTTCCTGTATAATCATCTTGGAAAGGGTTTGTGTCTTTTATTGGGACATTTACCTCTAGCTTCATAGCTCAGCTTCCAGACATTTTTGCAGATCTTATGGCATCCTTCTGCCAAAAGCAATAAAGTCTGGAGCTATGTGTTTCTTTCTCATAGTGGACAAGAGAAAATCTACGACATCATGTCCGAAACGATTGAGAATGACTTCCCTGGGTGGGTCAGTTCCGTGGTCGGGCATCTCAGCAGCCCTGTGGTCATCCTGCCTGCTGTGCTGCTGCTGTTGTAAGTGTGACACCACCAGCCTCTGGGGACTGCCTCATGCCAGGCCACCTGACTGCTTTCCAAAAATCATGCGGAACTAATTAATTTATTCCAAAATCACCTATGGAGCTTGATGATCTAAGATGCGACTCTGAGTCATACCCCAGAGTCACTTGATCCATCATGCTGCAGGGAGACAGCTGTGGGGTTTCAGGGGGGCACCGCACTGCTATCAGGGTGGCTACTGATTCATCAGCAGCATTTGGACAATGACCGTGGCCACTGCCCTGGGGCCAAGCATCAGAAGTATCAGTGCCTTATTCTGCAGAATATAAAGGATCTTGAAAAGGAATTTCCCAGTGCAGCCAAGTAGCAGTGGCTTGTTTGGGCTTAGAGAGAAAAGGTTAAAGTGAGGAGGGAGAGTACTCTTGGCTTAATGCCGAATGCGCTCCCTGCTGCTGCAGAATTCTGGGTCAGTGGGGTTGCTGCATAAAGTGGAAGAGGAAGGCAGTCCCTCCTTGTGCTCTCCATGGGGGGCGGGGGTCAATGTGAAGCCCACATCTGACTTGGGAACACTTGTTCCACCCAGCAGCTGAGCAGGGGTGTGGCCTCACAGCCAGGCCCTCATTACTATGTCTTTCTGTCCTAGCCTGCTCATCTATTACCTGCAAAGCATCGCACGCTCATTGAAGCTCAGCAACCAGCAGCTGCGAGTGCAGATCCAAAATGCAAGTATCCCCAGTACTCTGCTGTTACCCCCGCGTGGCTGTCACCCACCTGATGAGCGTTCTCCAGCATGAGAGTGTGGCTGCCATGGCTCTTGGCTGCTCTTATGGGACAAGGCCACCACTCCCTGGGCTCCCCTAGACATCCCTAATATGAAAAATACGAAGTGGGGTCAAAAACTCTGGGGACAAGTCACTGTGCTGGTCTTCCTCTTCCTCTACAAGGCTCTTGGTTAGGCCTTGAGTACCTCTGCACTCTTCAGTGGCCACACAAAGTCCAGACTCACCTTTAGGTTCTGGCTGCCATGATAGCCTCTCCCACCTGGGGCTCAGATACTCTCCAAGCAGGCAGAAGGAGACAAACACTCCTCAGACCTAAAGGATTTTTCCTTCTCTGCAATTCCCAAGCTCTTTAGGGTCTGGGGTGAGGTTAGGGAGGAACGCGAGGGAGCAGATTTAAGGTAGCTCTCTCCAGGTCCCTCAAACCTCCCCTTTCCCAGCCCTCAGAGTGAGGGTCTCCTTAAATGTGACAGCATGAATTCCTCCATAGCTTGACCTTCATCCCTCCCAATGCAAAAATATTTTCCTCCCTTTTCAATGAAAAAAAAATCCTAAAAGTATAGATTTCCACAAGTATCAAAGTAAAAATTTCCCATAAAATTCAATGAAAGAGCATCTTGCTCTTGATCTTCATGGTCTCCTTTGGGACGCAGGCAGATTATCTCAGCATCCCTAATCTAAAAATGTGACACCTGAAATGCTTCAAAACCTTAAAATCTGAGTGTCAAAATGATGACTCAGTTGGAAAAATTCCACACCACAAAACTTTGTTTCATGCCCCAAATTATTAAAAATATTGTATAAAATCTTTCATACTATGTGGATAAGGTTCGTATGAAACAACTGGAGACGTTTCTCTTCCCTAAAATATCTCATCATATATGTGTACACATTCCACATGTTGGAAAAATCCAAGATGCTGCTGGGCCCAACTATTTCACATAAGGGACACTCAACTGTATTGGCAGAATCCAAACATAGCCAGTGACTCAGCTGTCCCTAAGTGAAACCATTTAGGCACAAAACTTGGTGCTTAGGTATCTTCATTCATTCACTCAAATAAAAGGCAGAGTCAACACTTACACCCAGGTGGGGGTGACTAGAGTTCATTTGTGTCCAAGATATGAAGAACAACGCAAAAGCCTCCCAGACACCAAGAACAAAACCTTTTTATTACTTTCTGCCGAATCTAAGTCAAACAAGGTTATCATTTACATTTTAGGCAAGATCTGAAGATAAGAAAAAGGTTGCCCAGATGGTAGAAGGTAAGTGTATTTTTAAAGCATAAAAGTCTGATGTTTCAATTGACAAGCATCCAAACATAGAGCAAGAAGGTAGTTTAAGGTGTTATACCTGCAACAATTCCTCACAGCCAACACTGGTATCTCACAATTAACTAGGTACAATAAAATAAAATGTAGGCTACAAATACTATTTTGAGTCTTTAATTTTTACGACATGGCTGGCCTGTACAAAACCTCCAAATCCCATCAGAAGGAAGGTTTATAGTGGAGAAAGCAGCATAGTGATCTGGAGAAGCCCTGAGACCGTCCATCTCATCCCTGCTCCTGCAGAGGCCCAGTTCTGTCTGGCAAGACCCTCTCCCAGCGCCCCTGGCCTCTGTCTTCCCTGTCCTGGCCCTGTTGAATGTTGGCAGCTGGGCAGGCCTAGGCTGCAAAATGGACTCTGAGTAAGGATCCGAACCCAAGGACTCTGCAAGGGGATACCTTCTCTCCCAGATCCTCCAAATTGGTTCGCATCTAGACTTCTGGAGAGGAAAAAGAGAGAGCTGCTCTTCCAAAGGGATGGAAACAGGGAAGCAAATGCTGGTATGGCCCAGAGGGAAGCTTGTGGGCAGATGCAGCTCAGAAACAAGTGAGAGTTATAGCCAGGTGTGGTGGCACATGACTGTTATCTCACCACTCTGAGGAGATAGAATCAGAAGTTCAAGCTGATCTCGGCCATTGAGTGGCTTAATGAGACCCTGTCTCAAAATTAAAAATTAAAAATGGACTGAAGATATAGCTCAGTGTGAAGAACCTAGGTTCAATATCCAGTATCACAAAACAAAAAACAAGTGAGCCAGACTCTTGGGACCACTGCCAAGGCATGCTGGGTGCCACTAACTGGCATAGCCCACATTCTCAGAACACTGAGAAGGGACCCAGAAAGTTCCATGGGCCAAGACTGTGCCATTTCAGTGCTGAGCTCACCAGAAGAGATCTATTCTCTTAAGAGTTATTCTTGTTCCATCCATCTTTGCAGAGAGAAATCACTAAATGAAAATTAACTATGGAAGGTTACTATGGGTCAAGCTGTACAAGCCCACTGCAATTATCAAGGATAGTTTAGGTAGAAGTAACTAAAAATTTAGTTTTATTCAGGTAGTATCTGCAAAAGCCAGCATCTACACAGACTTTTTCAAGGTAATAATAGCATTATCTAGTGCTCACTTTCTAGGTCAAAGCCATGTTTTTTCTCAGAGTCCTACCTGAACTCTTTCCAAATGAAATGTACTCGTCACATAAGCTTTCTTATATCCATCATATAGATAATGAGCCTCGTGGAGATATCCCAGGGTGCATTGTCATCTCAGCTCTGATCCCGCCTACGTCCCTGCTCTAACCCTCTGCCATAAAATGACTTGGTTGCTGAATGTCCATGGTCCATGAGCTGTTGTGTTTGCAAGGGCACCTGGTTGTCTATAGACTCTGTTGCTGGCAGTCATGAAACTCTTGCAACTAAACCAGCCTGGTGTCTGTCACCCTTCTGCTACTATAAGAGGCACTACACATGGTCCGCTGAAAAGAGAGAAAGCTTATTTCGGCTCATGATTTCAGAGCTTCCAGTTTGTGATCACTTGGCCCATTGCTCAGCCTGAGTCATCACCTGGCGGCAGTGTGTGGCAGAGTCCAACTGCTCAGGCCACGACCAGAGAGTGAGAGAGAACGAGCATGGCTTCCACACTCCTCAAGAGCACATCCCCCATGACCTTAAAATCTCCCAAAGATGTCACCACCACCCAATAGTGACCTGCTGGGGACCAAGATTTTAACTAACTCATAAGCCTCTGGGGGACAGTTAAGATCGCAGCACCCTTCCAACACCCCATGTCCATTAGTGGGTCCACCACTTTCTATCAGGAAAGATGGAACCAAATGACCCACATAGTGCACAGATGATTTTGCCTAGAGCTTAGTTGGCCCGAAGCTGAAATATAGAAGGTCTTGCCAGCAATATGGCCAGTTCAGAACTGGAAAATGGAAGATAAACAAAAAGGCATTTTCTTATCTTAGGTTATGGAAATGTGTATGCTAGACAGGCAGGTTCACAGACAGGTTTTATGGCAGATGTGGTGTAGGTGTGTGTGTGTGTGTGTGAACTGCAGCAAGCCTGAGTGTGTCACCTACTAGATGTCATCTCCTCATAAGCCCCTTCTCCTCTCCCTGCAGCTCGAATCCAGACCCAGGAGGAAAACTCCAAGAGGCTTCCAAAGGAGGGTGACCTAGCACACATGGTGACACCCCTAAACAATGGCACTGTGGTCAGCTTCGACTCCCTGAGCACTGAGAGCAGCAGGACAGAGGCCATCAGTCACCCTGTGCCCCAGAGCCCGAGTTTAAGCCACAGAGATCCCTGCTTACCTCTTCCTGGTGTTGGCAAACCAGGGCCACAGCGATTTACTGACAGGTAAGCCTGAGTCACAGCCCAGAAGGAAACTTGGCTTCTTCAAATGTGACACTGGCCATGGTCCAGGGGCAAAGAAGGTATGCACAGAAGGGCAACTCAGAGTTTGAAGGCCTCAGCAGTTTCAGGAGGCCAGGCACAAGAAATCCCAATTCTGCCAGAAGGCTGACCATGAGGTAAAGACAGACTGTCACACACACGCGCACATGCGTGAGCGTGCGCGCGCGCACACACACACACACACACACACACGGAGAGAATGGGGAAAAGGAGTTGAAGTTTGTCAAACAGAACACATTCTTTTTCCTACACTGTCTGCCATGGGCTGGGGATTTAGCTCAGTGGTTCTTCTGCCTGCCTTGCAAGCGCAAGATCCCAACTTGGATCCCTGGTAACAAAAGAAAAAAAAAATCACACACCTACACCACATCTGCCATAAAACCTGTCTGCGAACCTGCCTGTCTAGCATACACATTTCCATAACCTAAGATAAGAAAATGCCTTTTTGTTTATCTTCCATTTTCCAGTTCTGAACTGGCCATATTGCTGGCAAGACCTTCTATATTTCAGCTTCGGGCCAACTAAGCTCTAGGCAAAATCATCTGTGCACTATGTGGGTCATTTGGTTCCATCTTTCCTGATAGAAAGTGGTGGACCCACTAATGGACATGGGGTGTTGGAAGAGTGCTGACCCAAATGCATATCCAGAATTGTATTTGATCTTACTGTAGCACCATGGAAGCACTACAGATAAATACAATTTCTCTTTTCTCATTTATTTTTAAAGACAATTACTAAATTAATGAAGAACTTGAAATCTTGCTATATAAGGCATTGAGTAGTAACAAGGAAGCAGGAATCAAATACTCCTGGGGAGACCATAAGAGTTAAACCAGCACTGCTAGACAGAGTGACATCTCAGGAAAAGAGCGTTCTAACAGGCATAACGCCCCGGTCGTGGAAACATAAGGAAGTTCCCGAGGAGGGGAACATCTTCTTATTAGACACAAAAAAGGGAAGCCTTCCTAATAGGTGCTCCACAAACACTGCTCCCAGGACATGCTCCTGGACAGAGAAGGCCCTGTGGTAAGACCTACTGTGTGAGCAAAATGTGCCACACCTGACCCACGCCATACACATCATTTCTGGTCCTAAGGCTTCTGTGGTGAGAGACCTCTTTGGCTCTTCTACCAAATGTGTCCAGCCATAGAATACCATGACACTTTGGAACTGACAAAGCCCTGGTGGGCCTCTGAGACCATTGAGGCCAGACTACTTAACCCCCTTGTCTTACAGGTATCGACAGGGGCCATGGGCCAGCACAGGGGACCTTCACCAGAACAGGGCCTTCACACCTGTGACACTGCCACAGCATGTGAAGGATGTACGATCAGAGCCTCTTTTCCGAAAAGACTTACAGCCAATCTATCCTCCTCTCCGTGGCCCTGGGGTCTCAGCCTGTGTAGCACGTGGTCACAAGCCCCAAACCCCTAGGTACTATCTCATGAATGAACCTGACTCCCACCAAAAGCCCCACCTGACTTTCTGGCCCGAAAGACATTTCAAGATGGATGCTTCTGGTGACATGGTAGAGGTATACCCCAGGAACATGCAACAGCACTTGGCCTGGGTGCCCCTGCAGCCTGGCTCTCTGCAGCTGAGTGAAGAAGAAGAAGAAGAAGAAGAAGAAGAAGAAGAAGAAGAAGAAGAAGAAGAAGAGATGCTGAGGAGAGGTGTGGGCCAACGGCCACTCACCCCTCGCTCCCAGGCGGGCCTCCATCAAGCCCCTCATTTTTACATTGCTGAGAGGTCCAGAAGCCGGACCCGAGATCCTGAGCCCCGGGGAAGGAGGCACTGCAAGTCTGGGGGTGATGGTTTTGAGGGTCAAGCTGACAGACCCATGTTTGTGCCCAGGAGGCCATGCTCCAGGAATGTGCAGCACCCACAGCCTCCTCTGCAGCCCCGGGCCCGGCCCAAGTTCCAGCCATGCTTCACGGATTCTGACTCCATGTCAGCATTGTCCAGCAGTGACCAGCAAAACAGCAGCACTGACCAGTACCTGCAAGTCACCCGCAGCCAGGGCAGGCTCCCGAGGGCCACAGGGAAAGCTGGCCGGAAGAAGGCCAAGTCTGGGCGGGCAATGCCCACTGATCTGGATGACCTGGTCTGTTCCAAGGTCTAGGCTTCCTCCCAATGGCCCATGCACAGAGGTCAGGGCACTCTGAAGCACCGGGCCTCACACCCCCTCTCAGCCCTTCAGAGACAGGAATGTGCCGCTGGACATCAGAGAGTATGCAGTGCATTCAGTCACATCTGTAGATGGCTGGCCGAGGCCCTGAATCTCAAAGTACATGCTGATTCTACGGCAAACAGACACGAGTCATTTCTGAGTGCCTCCTAAGTTCAGGACACATCAGTTCATCATTTCAAGACAACTTCAGTCCTTTGCCTACAATTATACAAGCCAGACAGCACATCCCACTGTGGAAACCCGGATCTGCTCCTCCCTTAAACTGTATGAGTATGCTGTTTTGTGAGGCTGTCCTTCTTTGTACAAGGACCCTGCTCCCTAGCAAGCACTGGAGATGAGGTGACTAGCCCTAAGGGTTTCGCAATGCCTAATGTGAGTAATGAAAATGTAAGTGATGAGAAGAGTAACGAATTAACAAGAGCTCCTTTTACTGTTCACTGGGCTGTGTGTCTACATTAATTAGTCAGAAAACTAGGTTTGCACAGAATCCTAGTTTTATCCCTAAGTTTATTGGCTTTTTAACTGGGAAGGATGGATATTAAGACTCAGGAATGGGTTCAGCAGAATCAGGGCACTGAATGTCTCCAGGATCATTCTCTGTTCTGCTGTCTCTGAGCTGCTCGAGTTCATTTCTCCTATGCCAACAGCTTCCCCTGCACGGCTATTGGAAGAGAAAGTCACAGCCACAGAAGCATTGCCGCTTTGCAGTGTGCAGCCAGGAAGCCCAGGAGACAGAGCTGAGCTCTCAGTGCGCAGCTGCCTGTGGTCCTCTGACCGGCCTTACACAGGGCAGATGTCGAATCTGCCACAGTAACTGGACTGGGTCCTGATTCACATCTCCATATAACTCCATTGTCTCCACTTGTGTCTTTCTTGATACAAGTCACTCCATTTTGATTCTGACAGTAACAGAGTGGCTTGAACAACACACATATATCTGTTTCCGTGGTGAGTAGTCCAGGTATGGCTCAGCTGGGTCCTTTTCCAAGGGTCTCACTGGGTTGTAATCAGGGCATCAGCTGACTGGGATTGCCTCCAAGGTTGGAGGTCCTCTTCCAATCTATGTGATTGTTGACTGAATGCCTTCCCTTGAGGTTTGGAGACAAAGGTTATCAGCTCTTAGAGGCTGCCTGTATGTCCCTGCCATGTGTTCCTCTACACAAGGTTGTTTGTACCTTCACAGTCAGCTGAAAGTGTCTCCAGATTTCCATCTCTTCTTCCAGAAAAGGTCCGGACTCTTTTTAAAAGGCTTCACCTGAGTAGGCCAGAACCACCCTGGAGAAACTCTCTGATGATTATCTGCAAGTTAACTATTTGGAGACCTTGATGCTATCTTCGAAATGCTTACTGCCTCACACAACCCAGAGTGGGGGTGAAAACTGAACAAACCCACAAGTGTCAATTCAGTAAGAAGAGATGCAAACCAGGGGTCAAAAATCCTGGAGGCCTGACAAAGACACTTAACAAATATGGAATGGGTGACTGAAGGGTGAATAAGCTGTACTAATGACTGAATCACAAATAGCATTCTCACCAGATTGAGGCCACTTCTAACCAGAAAGAAAAATTTAGTCTAAATATTGCCATTTAAGAAATGAACACAGATAAACACTCCTCTCTGCATTCATGAAAAGGAGCACGTTATTTTCAAAGTCCGGCCACAAAATGTTCTGTGAGGCCATGGGATGTCCTTTGGCAACCGAGGTGCTGGTCTGTGTTGTGGCGGGGAGCTCACCAGTATATGATTTGGGAAAGGCTGGCCCCACATCCAGGTGTTACAGGAGTATGTGCCTGGGTAGGGGTGGGAGAAACCTCATGAAGTCTAGAAGATAAACCGGCCTTGGGACATTCCTAAGAAAATCTAGTGACCAGGACATACCCAGGGCTGTAGGCACAATGTTGTCACACACTACACCCTGGCACTTAGCACTGGACTCCCATGTCTTTAATTTAGGACAATCTAGAAGAAACTGATTAGTGCAAAAATTAGTGTAACAAGCACCTGTGTTCCTACTGGATCAACAACTGTTGAAATGTTGTTTTATTCTCATCTAATGTTTTGTTATTAATAAAAAAGAAACCATTATAGACATAACCAGGTCCACATTCAACCCCACATCAAATCTCATGCCCCTCACCTGTCAAGAGGTTGGTGTGAATCCACCCAGCAGATCCTTTGTAGTTACAAATGTGTTTGTGAATATATATACATAAGCTTCAATAAACAATACCTAAATACATTTTACTCCGGTAAATTCTGCTATCCTGCATGTATCATTGTACGTAATTATGTTGTTGATGCCTGTTGATCAAACTCAGCTGCATAGTGTCTCATGGTGTGAATAAAGTATCTAATATTTATCCATTGTCTTCACGATACACATTGAAATCTTTTCTACCTCTTTGTTTCTAAAAATAATCATGCACTGGACATGGTTTATATGTTTTGTCAGCAGTGGATGTTAGTCCTCCTAAGAGCAATCTGTAACCCTTAGGAGATGAGCACAACCAAGTTTCCCAGCTGCTCTTCTATTGGTCTTCTTGGTTCAGACCCCAGACTCTTTTTCTTGACTTCACCAAAACCTGACCTTGTCACACTGTATAAGTGTTGCCTATATGATGAAAAAAAGTACTGTTATTTTAATTAGTTAGCCTTTGAAAACTGCTAGCACCTTTCCTTAAGTTGCATTTTCTCTTTGTGAACTGTTGCTGCCTCTGCGTCAGCAATCACCACTGCCCCAAGCCAGTTCCCACAAGGCTGCCGCCACAGAACTGCTTGCTAAGCAGTTGTTGCCCTCATCCCGAGGGTTACCCCTCACCTAAATTGCAACAGAAGACAAGAACCTACATTACCAAAGTCAGCACAGCTGTGGTTTCACAATATTCCTTCCCATTTAGTAATGATCCCTGGCAGGGAGGTTGTATGCTTTTCTGCTCTTTAACTAAATCACTGTTGAGGAGGACGTGATTCACAGTATCATTAAAAAAATCTTTCCTAAAAACACCTGCATAACAAACTCCTCTTAAGTCTCAGAGATCAGAACAACTATAAACACCAAAAATAGTGAGTACCTCTTGATGAGAATAGTCTGATAAATACCTTAGTGACCTAGGAACGATCCTTTGGTCACTCCTTTTGTTTCAGATTTCGTGAAAGCCAGGAAATTCAGAGGAAAGCTTTCTGCATATCTCTGTAAAGCCAACTACCCTAGCCCAAGGCAGTATTTTCCAGCCCCTCTGAGTATATGTGTTTGAATGCAAGTATGTGCTTTCCTTTATTTTTTTTTCAAGTTATCAAGTTTTCTTTTTTGCACATTTCATGGTAAACAATATATATATATGCTTGTAGGATGTGGGATATAATAAAATGTATGAGTAAATATATAGCCTTGGGAAATAGAAACTATGTATTTGCCCATAAACTCTGTCACTGACTAGCTATGTGGTCTTGGATGTTCTCTGCAATTCTCAGATTGCAAAATGCAGTAGTTTCTACTTCATATTGCTGGTACGTGCATATGATGATGGCAGGCACATGGTAAGCACTGAGTAACAACTAGCTATGCTAAGTGAACAACAAACACATACGTTTATATCCTTACTTAACAAATTCAGACAACCGAGTCAACACAGTGCTGGGAGTCCCTGCCTTCATGAACTCCTATTTGAAATTCAACTACAACTTTAGATCTCCTCCTAGCCTGGAAGGAGGACGGCACGGAAGAGAGACTCACTCTTACTTCCCTCAGCTTTCTTTGCTTAGTGTGGCCCCAGTTTAAGTCTCATGCTGGAGCTTTCCAGAAATATTCTACAATGAAATTTTCTAATGAGGCTTTTAAAAAATCAAGCAAGAACAGCATGTTAGTACGTAAAATAATTAAACAGTATAGGATGTTGTAAAACGAAATGTCTTTGGGCTTACTCTATTAGGAGTTTTTTCTGTACCTTTCTAGAAGTGAATATTCTAAACATACACACATGTAAACATATACAGAATATTGACAGTCATACATTGCTTACCAATGAGGGTACATCTTGAGAGATGTGTAATTAGATGATCTAGTTACTGTGTTACATACAGAGTATATTCACACAAAATGATGCCACTATCTGATATCATTTGAGACCACCAGGGTATACACTTCCTGCCATTGACCAAACTATCCTTATGTGGCACATAACTATGAAAACATAAACATATATAAGCATGTCTCTAGTTATTTCTCTTTCATACAAGACACGTGTATATATTTATACTTATATCAAATGGAACATACATATCATATATGAATGTTATTACAAATAAAGCACCAAGTGCTATTCACCATGAAATCATTTGACCATATCAACTCTGTTACCATTATTATTATTATTTATTTCGCTTTTCAAATGAGAATGCTGAAGTCTGAATGATCAGTTTCTTATAAAGACTGTATCTAGTTGATGATGCTGCTAGGCTTTGAGTACAGGCAATCTGACTTAAGCACTGGTTTTCTTTATATTAACTTTTTTTACCAGGCATGGTGGTGCACACCTGTAATCCCTGCACTTGGGAGGCTGAGGCAGGAGGATTGCTGTGAGTTGGAGACCAACCTGGGCTACATAGTGAGTTCCAGTTCAGTCTCAACTACATAGTGAGACCGTGTCGAAAAAAACAAACAAAAAAACAAACAAAAAAAACTTTTTTTTTTCAATGCTGGGGACCAAACCACAGAGGGGCTTGAGTATAATAGACAAGCACTCACCATTGAGCTTCCCCATCAGCTCCAGCACTTGCCTTCATTCGCAATGCTACAACCCTTTAATTGGCGTTGTTTAGTTACAATATAGTATATGAATAGCTTTCCTTACTTATTCATATATAAAAAATTCATTGGGGGAGGGTAAGACCTTAAATAATATTCAGCTAAGTTTTATATACCCTTCAATTCCTTGGAGAAAATGAATGGCTCATGGTGAGAAGGGCCTACTCTTCTGCTCCTGTAGCCAGACAGCCTGTGCCCACTATGAGGATCCAATAGGGTATGAGTCAGGTAGTAAAGGTAAGTGGAAAGAACAAACTCATTCTGGGGACGGATGGGAAGGATGGCTACAGGTGCTCCAGTCATCTGCCTGTGTGCTTGATGCCTATCAGGGCCACTGGACCAGGGGGTGCTAATGACAGTACAATCTCAAGTTGCCATGTGTCTCTAGGGAGGCTCAGGGGTCTTGCAGTACAGTCTTTCTTCAGATTCACCTCCAGTCACAATTCTGACGCCTTTATGTTTTGTCCTGACTTTGAGGGCCAGCTCCCTCTCTGACTGCCTATTAATTTCTATCTAACTTAGCTGCCTATAATAATGCTGCTTTATATGCTCTTCACAAGGCCCTGCAGAGACATTTGTTATCATCCCACTGCACCCTGGTGCAAACTGAGTCCCAAAGAGACTTAGTAAACTACACACCCAGTAGCAGGTGCAGACCCTGGCACTTCCGCATTCCTGCCCACTTCAGCCCAGAGACAGGCACCCCTTCTCGTCTTCCAAAGAAGGTTTACAAGTAGTTACTTTGCTTTCTCCACCCTTCCACGCATCTCTTTCAAACTCTGAAAGGAAGCCAACGTGCACACACAGAGAAAGAAAGCACAAATAAAGCCCAGCATTGACCTCTTCAGAAATGTGGTTAGATGCAGCCCCGCCAAGGTGGCAATCCAGGCTGCCCAAGAAGTTCACGCTGGGGACTGCGACGGCCATCCACGCCCTGCCAGCTGGCCAGCCCAGAGAACCCCATAAGAGATCCACTCCAGCAGGCCCCGTAGGCACCTGTAACCAAGGGTGTGCCACCAGAGAGCTGGCACAGAGCCCGGTGCCACCAGCGGAAAAAAGCATTATCACCAATAGACGAGGAATGTAGAAAAGACCAGAGCTTATTTAGATCAGCGTCCACTGCCAAGGGGGACAGAGAGAGTTTCCACGAGAAGAACTACGCCAACAGAGTAAGACCCTGGGGTTTTTTATGAGTTGGAGAAGGGCCTAGAGCAGATTCTCCAAAAAATCCGGATCATCCAGTTCTCGGCAGATCTTTAGGGAGCGCCTGCATTTTTAAAACGACGCGTTTTCAGCTGCAACTCTGACAAGACCACTTCCCGAGACTTTTAGCTTTAGATAGGTGGTGACCTAGACGTCTTTATCTTTGACAGAAGATAAGTCAAGACTCCTCTGGAGGACGACTGGGCCTTAGATGAGGATTTTGCTATTATCAGAGAGGAGTGTCTTTAAGTGGTGTTCTCCGTATTCCGATGGCTGTAACAGGAGCCGGGATCCCGTTGAGGTTTTCACCCCTTCCACTCGCCCATGGCGTACCCCGCGCGCAGGCGCGGGGCAGAAGCGCGGGCCCGGATCCAGCCAGGCTGTGACGCCATCGCGGCCC